GGTGAGCCTATTATTTCAAAACAGCCTGTTAAAGCGAAATTTGAGCCAACTCTTCCAAGTGCCCTTCAGATTAAGTCTATTTAGAATCAAGTTTTAAAATTTCCCCCTGGCTAACAATTTTCATGGTGTTTGTCATAACTTTTTATCTATTTAATTACTCAGTATTTTATAAAACTTGATTTTGAAGAACAATAAGCTATATGTATGGTGGGATGAATGGAAACAATCATGGGCTAGTAGGTAGTGTCTGAGGCCATGTCTTCTGGGAATTAACACCTATCAGCATGGTGTGCAGTTGTGAAGTCAGTTGAATAGAAACATAGTTCTGCATAATGTACCTTGAACTCTAAATGAGAAACAGAAGGACAGAATTGGGAAAGGATTTGAAGCCTCAAAGGGCTGTTTCCTAAAACCAGGTTAATATGAAGTACTCTGCAATGTTTTTAGGTACTATGCTGTGTTCCCAGAATCTCAAATTAGGTGAGGAAATCTAAATGTGCTTTTTAAACTTTATAATCAATGTATGTTCTGTCGGTTGTTTAGCTTTTTAAAGTACTTGCTTTCTAATCAGCATTCTAAGTCGGATAGAATTTTGAGCTGGTCTTGTCTGCCATTTCTTCCTTCTTAGTGCTGCAGTTATTTTTGTATCACTCTGAAGTCAAGGACTTGAAATTCTTTTCAGTGGTCTTTCACAACAATGGCTTGAAAGTGCCCATTATGTTACTGGATCTAAAGTTCCTTAGGTGGAACTGCTGTTTCTATCAGAAATGCACGTGAGAAGCAGGTATGTGTGCAGCTTCCAAGCGGCTGGCAAGACCTGCACTTCGCCTAAGTTTTTAAGACTCAACTGGGCATTAAACCTTTTGATAACAGATGTATTTTTTAACACCTGATACACAGAAGCAAAAAGATCAGATGGTGTTTCTTAGAAAATGAAAAGAAAAATAAATTAAGGCAATTACCTCTTTTGAATACATCAGAGCCGAAATACATTTCTATTAACTTTTCTTCAAAAAAAAAAAAAAAAAAATGTTACTATTACAACAATAATATGAAGTGCCTTTATCTGCTCAGACCTAAAGAACATTTTTAAAAGTATCACAGGAATGATTATGCTTCAATTCCCGAGTAGTTAAAGTGCTAACTGCTACTTGAAACTATTGTTTACAGATTAGTGATGGGCTGCCAGTGGGCTCTGGTTGGATGCTGGCCTCCAGCTGCCCTCAGACATGCCACACCGGTTCTTCCTTCCTCAAGTCCAGCTGGGAGCTATTTTTGCCAACATGTCGCAGTAATCTGTATTTTTGTATGTGATTTCTACTTTTATAGACTCATTTTAAAATAAAATACATTTTTATAAAAACAAGTACTTGTGTCCCACTTTTCTGCAGTCATTAAGTTTAGAAAGCATTGGTTTGGGTTGCTATTTGGGTCAGATGTAATGAGATTTCATTGTCAACCCCAATCTACCTGTCTTGCCTGCTTTATGTGTTTGTTGTCAAACAAAAGTTTACAAGCCTTCTGAAAAGTGCTAAATACAAGCTTGTCAACCTTTTTTCCTTTATTTAAATTTGACACAAGTTTGTTTTAACATGTCAATCCCAGTTCCTTTACCCTCCCATCCTCCCCTATCACCTCCCCTTTTTGCTCCGCAGGGAGGAGGCTTTCCATGGGGAGTCTTCAAAGTCTGTCATATTTGGGTCAGGGCCTAGGCCTTCCCACGTGTGTCTAGGCTGAGAGAGTATCCCTCTATGTGGAATGGGCTCCCAAAGACCATTCATATACTAGGGATAAATACTGATCCATTACTAGAGGCCCTGTAGACTCCTTAGTCCTCTTAACTAACACCCACAAATAGGGAGTCTGGGTCAGTCCTATGCTGGTTTCCCAGCTATCAGACTGGAGTCCATGACATGGAATCCTTGTTCAGGTCAGCAGTTTCTATGGGTTTCTCCATCCTGCTCTTGACCCCTTTGCTCATCACTCCTCCCTCTAACTGGATTCCAGTTCAGCTAGTGTTTAGCTATGGTGTCTGCTTCTGCTTCCATCAGTTATTAGATGAAGGCTCTAGGAGGGCATATAATGTAGCTGTGAATCTCATTATCATGGAAGGGCATTGAAGGTAGCCTCTCCACTATTGCTTGGATTGTTATTTGGGTTCATCCTTGTAGATCTCTGGGCATTTCCCTAGTGTCAGATTTCTCCTTAAATCTATAATGGCTCTTAATGTGCTCTCAAGAATAAAGACATTTACAAAATACCTGATTTCAAGTGGCTGCTGTCATGACACTTAAGTACAGACTGGGTCGATTTACATTGAGTATTTCCATGGTTTTGAAACGGTGTGAATAGGTTATGCCAGAGCTTGCAATAGTTCAGTCCCTTTGAACCTTTCCATTTAAATGCCAGGCTGGTAGTTCTTTTTTTTGTTTGTTTTGAGACAGGGTTTCTCAGTATTGCTTTGGAGTCTATCCTGGAATTAGCTTTGTAAACCAGGCTGGCCTCGATCTCAGAGATCTGCCTGCCTCTGCCTCCCAAGTGCTGGGATTAAAGGCATATATGCCAGCACCGCCCAGCTCAGGCTGGTAGTTCTAAATCACCTAGGTTTACGGATATAGTTTTCCTTAGTTAGGATTAAAGATAAGTTACATAGATTTTAAACACACGAAGATAGGATAGATGATGGAATATTTTCTTCAAATCTTGCTAAATGTTCATGGACTAAATATTGCTGTGATTCTTATTCGATAACTGTTGTGTGATATATTTTTGCTATGTTAAGGTTAAACCCTTTTTATTTTAGACAGAAAAGAGGAGATGATGGGAGATGTCATTCTGTAAATATGTTTCTCATACTGGTTAATGAATAAAGCACTGTTGGCCAATAGGAAAGCAAGAGAGGAGGGACTAGGAGACAAGGAGGAAAGAGGAAGTAGGTAGGAGTCAAGATGGAGAGGCTGGGGAGATGAGACACAGGCCCCATCCCCTGGTAAGATGAAAGCACATGGAAATACGTAGATTAACAAAAATGGGTTAGGTTAATACTTAAGACAGAGCTAGCCGATAAGAAACTAGTACCTGGCCAACAGCATAATATCTAATACAGAGTCTCTGTGTGTTAATTGGGGCAGGCGCGGTGGTGGGACAAGACCGGCTGCAGGAGGAAAAACCTTACTCCTTACAGTTTACTGATTTTTTTTTTTTTTTAATTACAGCATAATCACAGTGCTAATTTTTGTTTTTAAGTGACAGAGGATGTAAAGTACATCCATAGAGCCTTACCATCCAGTGTCAACCGTGTAATTCCTGGCCAGCCTCATTAGTGTGATCTCAATCATTCCCTCCTATGAAGAGAATTTTCCAAGACTCAGCCTTGGAATTATAAATACCACAGTATATGTAAGATTCAGCATTAATTCTAAGCACTGAGTGAAGGGACGGGATTGAAGAGCTGTCTTCCAATTTCCTTTGTGTTTTTGAACTGTTTTGGTTTTGAAACAAGAGCTCACTATGTATCTCACACAAGCCTCAAGACGGCTATTAGCTCCAGCTGACCCTGAACTCGGTCTTTGCCTGCCAGGTGCTGGGTTTGCTTTCATCAGTCTCCTAATGTGGTCCACATGCTGGCATTCAATGATTCTTTAAAAAGTTAGGCTTTAGGTTTTCTTTCATCCCTGGAAACAGAATACAGATCACGTGTCCTATATTCCACGAGTTGTAGTGGTGTTATCCTTGAAATAAATGCCTAACAGGTTAAGCTGTCCCAGCCACATTTGTCATCTTCATAAGCTCCAGTTAGATCTAACATCAAAAGGTCAGGGGTGACTTCTGCACAACGGATAAGACCTGAAATGGTGTTTTGCATCAGGCTCCATTTTTGGTGAGAACCGTAAGCTTTATTTACATGTGTGTGTGAGTACATGTGCACATGTCTTTAGGTGCCTGTGGAGGCCAGAAGACCTGGAGTTATCAGTTCTTCTGAACTGCCTGATGTGGGTGCTGGGAATCAAACTTGAATCCTCGTCAATCCTACCTAATCATTGATTTTCTTTAAAGTACCTTGAAGTTCACCTTCCCTAATGTACAAAATAGGCTCTCATTGACTTACGCCCGCTAATCCCCTATAAATACAAATCATTTGAAAACATAATTAATATTACTTTGGAGGGTTCACTACTTGATACAAGGTCTTACTATATAGCCCAAGCAAAACTTTTAGCTCACAATCTTACCCCTTCCCCACGATTATTATTTCACATAGTGGTTATCCATGGGATATTTTTAGTACCCTTAAGCATATGGATAGGGATATATATATGCAAACAGTAGAAAGAGCTCCTAGTGACTGAAATTCTAAATTTGTGTTATTTTCAAAGCTTAGCAATACATGTCCTTAAATACTTATTGCTCGGGGGAATATGTGAACGTGCATGTGTGGGGTGCCACAGGAGGATGTCAGGTGGTCTGCTCTATCTTCTTTACCTTACTCTGAACCTGGACCTAGACTAGCAGCCTACAAGCTTCAGCAATTCTTTCTCTACCACACCTGCCTCCCCACCTGACAGGCTTGCTATGAGCAAAGTATGACCACAGCCAGTTTTTTAGGTGGCTGTGGGGATTTGAACTCAGGTCTTCCTGTTTGTGCAGGAAGAGCTCTTAAAGTGCTGAGCCATCTCCCTAGACCCTGTATTTTATTTGACACTTTCAGATCAAGTGAACATTTTGTAACAAAATTGTTTTGTACATGAAATCTATCCATTCAAGAATGTAGAAACTATGGAACATTTAAAAAATTAAATTATATAAAAACACATTATTGAACTAAGCATTTTACCCTCTGAATAAACAAATTATCATTCTGCCAAGTAATGACAATGAACCGAGACTAGTGCGCAGAAGACATGGCTGTGGGTTCAAACTTGAAACACGGTATTCAGAGGAAACCTGGTTTACATAGTAATCTCATAAGAATTTAGGAAATAAGAAAGTAATAAAGAACAGACAATGGCTTAATTTTATTTGTATACAGTGGTCATTAAAGGTTAACCCATTCAAAAAGACATTTTTGAGACTCCAACATCCTCCGCCATTCATCTATTACAAATAAATCCTGGCCTGCAACAGAGCAGAAGTTAGATTGCAAACGTAGTCAGTAATTTTAATACTTTTCCAAATGTAGCTTATGAACAATTCCACACAGCTAGTTACTAGCTAATAGTACATACTAAAAGATCTGTGGTAAATCATGAACAACCAGATTCTTGGATATAATACGGGCAGAAGTGACATCCCCCATCCCCACCCCACAAAGTATTTCAAGCCTTTGGGTGGATTTTCTATAGTGTGGAATTTAACCTCCATATAAAGTAGTATCTTAAATATATCATTTCTTAAAAAATTAAACTAGAAATTAGACTTGGCTCAGCAAAAACCTAACATATTTCCTCCTGCAGATACTCTTAAGGAACACATTCTGGATAAACAACAAAACCTAGATTACCTTGCATGTCAACATTCATGTTTTAGTTGTTAAGAGCAGCATGTTGAGTTTGGCAAAGCTAAGAGCATTTAATCTGATCATGCATCCTAGCTTTCAGCGCTCACTTCTGAGCTCACTAGGCTCAAGTCCCACTAACAGTCTATTTCAGTGTCCTTCCAATACTTCATTATATGATATTGTGACAGATGGCACAGAGTGCATCTTCAATAAACACTTTGTCAATGAAAACCAATTTCACCAAGTGAAAACGACTCAATTGAATAAGTGGCATGAGAATACCATTTCATTATTTAGCAATGGGATCTTTCTGTGAAAACTAGTTACTTTTAAGATCAAGAATTAAATGAAAGTAGTTTCCTTCAAAAATAAAGTGGTTTTTATACTGGGGTTGGGGAAGGGCTCTGTTGTTTTTAATCCTACAGAGCTATTGTTTAAAACTTGGAATACAGAAAATATTAAATAAGGCAATTCCAAAAGTATGTCCAATTCTCTTGCTGACAATCCTAAAACAAAAGGACGGTCTGAATGTTTTACCAAACTCCTAACAAAACATATTCATCAGTTATCTTTCTAATCCTTGAGTTCATGCTAGCGATTCAAAAACAGGAGAGGGGCTATTGAACTCAAATTATTTAAAAAAAAATAATTTGTCTGACCAACAATTTGTACAGAAAAATTAATACATTTACAAAGCATCATTTGTCCCAACAGATATATTTTATCTAGCATTGTTGACATTAACCAAGTCAGAATTCATCTACAAATAATTTTTAAAATGATTCAATTTTTTTCAATCAATAATGATTTTAGCATTATTTCCTAGAATTAGAAAATTATTAGCATATATAAAAACACATTTACCAACTTCAGTTAGGTCAACATCATGATTTATCAAAGTTCTCCATCATCAAAATTTTTTAAAATCTTTACCTTTAGGTACTATAAAAATAATGCATTAATCAAACAACATAAAGTCAATTCCACAAAGTTAGGAAGAAAAAACAAAGCCAAAATGCTTGTACAGTTAAATTTGAAATTCTAAATAAACCCTTTATTTAACCTGCCTCTCTAGAGAATATCAATACTCTTGGTTACCAACTGTAAATAATACAGAAACTTCACCAATATAATTCTAATCCATTTAGTCCATCACTTCTCACATGGTGAACAGTTTTTGTCTATCACAATGGAACAGACAAAACATGGATTCCACTTTGTCACCTTTGACTCTAGTGGTAGCCAGTCTCAGTAAGGACCAAAATAAGGTAGGTTTATGGCTGGTCATCTGTATCTGCAGAAAAAAATATATTTCTAGTAATCAAATATGTCGTCTGAGGAAATCCTTCACTGTTCTAGAATCACAGTTCGAAGCTCATCTTCTTTGTTGATCATCATTGAAGCAATCGCTCCATCATTAAATTCAAAAGAAGTTCCTCCATCCACAACCATGCAGGCATCCCAACATCGTGAACGGACGCAAACTCTGAGGGGAAGGAGATGTCTCATTAAATATAAAACATTAACTATCTTAACACCAAGTAAACTGATTTTTGTTGGCATAACCAGTAGCTTATTTGGCCTTGATTTTAAGAATTTAGTTGCTCTCTAATTTGACAATCAGTGACTGACTATCAACAATATGGGTGTACTATCACAATCTCAAGTTTAAAATTCAAGGTTGAATCATTCTCTTCAGTATTTATCAGTGGGGAAAAAAATAGACTTGGTGTGGTTGCTAGTTACTTTCATGTAACTTCCAAGTTATATAAATACAAGGATTTTAAGTCCTGAGCAAGAGTGCATGCTCATGTAAAATTTTACTTAGGGATTATATAATGTAAGCATGGCAGAGATAACTCACTAATGTACAGTTCATGAACACAGCATCAGTACCTTCTCCCAGTTGCTATGTCTGCCGGCCTCTTCTCAAGTGTACTCACTACCTATCACTGTAGGGAACTGTCCATTCCTCAGCTTCCTATCAGCAGCCATGCTAGTTTGGTGATGTTTTCATTCCTCAAATGAATAAGGTCAAGCATTTTTTTTTACATGCTTATTAAATATGCCTTTGGGAAATATCAAACATCTTTGGTTTTTTGTTTTTTTAATGCAGTGGGCTGCCTTTTACTGATTTGCTAGAATTTTTATATGTAGACTGAGTAGCCCTTAACCAAAATGCTTAGAAACAGAAATCTTTTAGATATGATTTTTCAAATTTTTAATATTTGTGTGTGTGTGTGTGTGTGTGTGTGTGTGTAAGAGGTATCTGGGGATGAAACCCAAATCTAAACAAAATTCACATTTCATGTACACTGTACATCCAGTGTACACACACCCTCAAGTAACTTAATACACACTTTCCAGTGCACTTGCATTGAAATTACATCCAAATAAGTAAACCTCAATCCCATCTATGGCATGGTACTTATGCTCACAGTTTTGGCTACCAGAGCAGTGACCTCAGACACTGTTCACAAAAACCTTGAGATAGACCAGATATCTTTTGCAAATATCTTTCTCTGTACCTTGCTGTTTTGTTTCTTTAATGGAATATTCTCTGGAGTTCTTAATCCTGATATAGAGTAATTTATCAACCTTTTGTTGTTCAAGCGCATTGCATGGTATGTTTACAGTGTCTTTTCCAATCACCTATGTCATGAAGCCTTCTATTTATATTAATTAACATTCAAACATAAGACATTAAAATATAAGAAATACACACAAACGAATTTAATTTGTAAACATAAATTCAATCTCAATTGAATAAAGAGAAGGTTAAGATGTTTCCTTCTAAGTGATCTCAGTATCTCAAAAAGAAAGGGATGATTTCGTTGTTTGTTTCTGTGGGGTTTTGTTTCTCCTTTTGAAATATTTCACTGTGGTGAAAGAAGTGAACAAGATGCTTACTTTGATGAGAAACAACGTTGACGGCTGCTTGAGAAAACTCTGTTTGCTATTGGCTCTCGAATACTGAAAAGTATTTTTGGTTCTTCTGGACTGTAGAGCAATGATTCGTTGTATTCATTTGTGACTGAAAGGGAAAAAACAGCAGATTTAGTAAAGGACAGCCACATCTGAGAAGCACGTGACTAACAAGCTGCTTCCAATTTCAAGCATGTGTTCAAAGGCTACTTGGAAGCGTATCTCTTGGGAACTCATATTACATACTCTACCATAAAAAGCCTTGGAAATAAATGGCTATTAGGTTCAATTATTAACCCACAAAAGCATTCATCACTTACAACAGAAGAAACAGGTATAACTGGGGGCAGGGGAGAGAAACAAATACTACACAGCTAGGAATTAAGCAGTATGACAAACTCAAAATTGAAACACAAGTTGCCATTCCTCAAGTATCACATCAAAGTTAATGACAATAGGAAAATGCAATATCAACCAATGAAAAGTGGTTAAGCTTTCTCCAGTGAGGCTGCACTTCTCAAGATATTTGAAAAAACTCTTAGGACCCATTTTCTAACATAAATTAAAGGCAACTATACAAGCCAGGCATGGCAGCACGTGTCTACTGCCCAGCTACTTGGGAGGCAGGAAGATGGCTTAAGCCCAAGATAATAAGAGGCCAGTTTGTGTACCCAGATTCTTATCTCTTCAAAGAAAAGAGGACGACTATACAAGAAGTTAAAAGTGAAAGTTTAGCAGAGTACCATATTAAAAAGACAGACTGTCTGATAATGGGCCTTGTTTGTGGAACTATTAGAATTTTATATGTGTATGTTCTTTAACTTGCAATCAAGTTATATCTCAATAAACCCATCATTATTTGAAAATATGTAAGTTGAAAATGGTCCCCTGCCATGCACAGGACCATGAATCTGTCATCTTTTAAAAATCCTTATTAAGGGTCTTTAAAAAAAAAGTCTAACTTACCACCAAAAAGTAAAATAGGAAATGTTCTAGCTGTGAAAGAAACTTCACGTGTAGTTCTAGGTGACTGCAATGCCTACTGACCTTCTAGTTTCTGCAGACAGCTCAATCTTCAAATAAGTGTTCACTCCGTAAAACCTTTACACATTTTAAATGTCTATCCCTGTGTTCTAGATGCAACTTCAATAGGAATTATACAGTTTCAGCTCTATTATGTTGAGGTTTGCATTTGACATAATGTTAGTACACATTTGTACAGAAGGCACAAACAAGGTGATTATTTGACTCATGTATGCACTGAGGAGTTCATTACTCAGAGCATTGCGAATATCCATCACCATGTGTCTTGTCTTAGTTCTCATAAAAATTATGTAACTAGAAATTACCGTGCCAATCTCCCTTTCCTTGATACCAATTTAGTAATAATGCTAACTGCCAAGCCATAACTAAAATCTTTTAAGTCTCAAATTGAAAATGAGCGGAATGTATTTGATAGTGCTAATACCATGAGAAGTAAGACTATGACTATGGAAAAACCTAGTGGGACAGCATGCCTTTAGATTTCCTTTCTTACAGTACATAAGTCTTCTATCACCCAGGATGTATTTACAGTTGTATTATCTTTAAATATGGGCTGTATTTCATGGTGAACACAAATGACAGTATAAAACTTCAGCTTTAGGACAGGCAAGAGAGTTCACAGGTGAATATGCTTGCCATCAAACCAAATAACTTGAGTTCAAATCCCTGGGACTCACTTGTTGAAAAGAACCAATTCCAGTAAGTTGTCCTATGACCTACACACACACACACACACACACACACACACACACACACACAATAAATACATAAATAGTAATTTAAAATGTTCTTCTTGGAAGCTCTCCTTTAGCTATATTTAACAAGACAGTGCTGTAACATCTAGTTAAGTGGATGCACACAATAGTGTTCTTTCTCAAAGCTGACAGAAATAAAGAAATAAAGGTACCAACCTTTTTCTACCAACTCTTTGTTCAATGGAAGAGTCAGATTTCCTTGTCGCCTGGCTATTGACAAAGGAAAGATAGAAACAGCTTCTGTTACTACGGTGAATCACATAATAGCAAACACATAGCATGTACATCACATCGTTGGTACACAATAATTCTATAATACAGAATAGCTGTTTTAGTACTCACCAATATTTAAAACATCTTCAACAGCCTGAGCTGCAACCCTGTTGATATTGAATGACCTAGAAAAAAGCAAGCACAGAATTCTTGCTTCTATCCTAAAAGGACACTAAAAATGGAAAGTATGTGGTTCATTGTATCAAACCCTTCAAAATGCCCAAACTAGTTGCATACTATCAGCCTATTAGATCAGTGATACACGACTATTGCTTTGACAGCAATAAGAGAAGCTCTGGTGAAGGACAAAGTGGACCCATTCACTGTGCTCGTGAAAGAAACCTAGGTTAATGATTTCCTTCAGAGAATGGCATCTGAAGGCTTGATGCTTTAACCAGTGGATAGAAAGGGGTATTCAGAAATAATTCAAAGCAGGAAGAAGATGCATTAAACAAAAACAAAAGGCTCAAAGAGAACAAGGTGTGTGCTGGGAATTACAAGCAGTTTGTGGTGTCTCAAGGACTGATGGGTAGGGTGAGGGTTTAACATGGATAAATAAGATGGCCATGGCCACATTTTACCAGGATGTTCTTGTCAGACTAAGCAGTGCCAGCCAAAGTGTTAAAGCCAAAAATGGACATTCTCTATGTGCACTCAGAAAGATCACTTTGCACTTTACAATGACCACTCTGTTGGGAGTGTTTAGGTGACAACCAGGAGAAAAAGAGGGCAGGTACAGAGAAAAACCTACCAAAAAAGATGAGACTCAGACCAAGGGAGCATCAGCAGAAGCTGAGAAAGTTGGCAAAGATTTGGGTATTGCAAATCACAGGATTTTGAGACCCGTTTGTGTGGAGGGGAGGGTGAAGGACAGCAAGAAGGAAAGAGTGAGACTTTAGAAAATGATGTTTTTCCTATAGTAATGGAGTCTGAGAAAACAGTAACAGAAGCAAACACTGCATGGAACATGGAACACAGAAGGGAAAAAAAAAAAAAAAAAAAATGGAAGACGGGTAAGACCAGGTTTGAATGTGCTGAACAACAATGTGTTGTCCCTATAACTCAGAGGACTCAGGTACATCCACATAAGATAGAAAGTCAATTTTGTAGCATAAAATAGTTTCACACCTTGACAGGTAACATCCCAAGTTACTCACCAGGCCTTTGATCCCGTTCCAGTACACAAATTGAGCCCTGAACTCTTCTGCTTTTCCCATGGGCCATCATCAACTGAAATTTCATAGTACGAAGCCCTATGAATTGAAAATAGAAAACTGTGTTTGCTGAACTGTGTTAGGGCCCCAGGGAAAAATAACAGTCTTCAAAATTCCTGAAATCTAAGTAAATCAGCTTGACCAAGACATCTGACTTAATCGGCATTACTAGTCTAATTCCAGTACTGATTAAGAGAAAAAATTAGAAGGAAAAAACATTCAGTTATCTGCATGCCTTTCTGACCTAGATGCCCCCTTACAATTAATACATTAGTGTTTCAGATGAGGGCCCATACATTTCTAACAGTGCTGCTTCTGCTCTCTGGGACCCCACACACACAGTGCTTCCTTTCAGGGTTCTAACAATTTCATCTTTACGTGGATGTCATTCTTGGTGCCTAGTCCCTGACATAACACCATCTACATCTAGTTCTTTCTGATAACAGTAATTGCTGCTAACCTCTAATTTAAGCTATGTGCTAGTATATCATTTCAAATGGTAGTGGGCTAACATATAAGGCCATAAAGAAAATCCTCAACCAATTCTATATAAGCAGACAAAAACTAAAAATAATATCAAAGTGTAATCTTTTCAGCAATTAATGTTTTAAAATATTCCAGAAATACAAACTGAGTTTTTGTAACACCAGCACACATGACACTATTGTTTAAATACTGACTGGACAACAGAAGGAACTTCTAAAATATATAAAAAGCCTACTGCGTAAATGCTATCTTAAAATAATGGTGTCACAAACACTACACTGTTTCTTCAGCAAATTAAGAAGTTAAACTCACAATAAAATACAGTTTTTCAAAGTAAGTTATTAAACACACTTGCAAACACTAACACACTAGTAATTTCTCATTCTAATTCTTTCAATTTCTTCACTAAGCTCCTAATATGAGTTTTGTGTGACGTAACTTCTCATTGTTGCTTTCGCTACTGTTCTTTACAAAGGACAACAGTGCCTAATAGTCACCTTTAATCTATTTCATGGGTCAGTTATGTCTTCCTCAAAAAGCACATGAGAAGCCTACTATTCATACAATCCAGCAAATCCCCAGCAATGTCTGCTACAGTGCTAGAATGAAGCCGAAACAAGAGAGTGCAGAAGGGTGGAGATGAGCAGAAGAGAACACGAGATTATACCCAGATGAGAGATGTTGAGCCCACAATGATGAGCAAATTTAGTGTCATTCTACATGCAGGTTTATTGGGATTAGTTAATTCACAGGATTTTTATTTGGGGAAAATTATTTTTAAGGCAGCAATAAAACTCACAGTCCCTTTAGATTGGGTATACTTCTTCTTAAATTGTCCACTGCTACAGCCCAACAATAAGGCATTCTAGGTTAGAACAGACAGAAAAGAAAAAAAACACAGGCTTTTAAATGTTCTTCAATCTAAGAACATTGAAAGTGAGGCAGGAGAAACATTGCTGCATATCAAATTTTCCAAGCAAAGCCTGTAAGGTTCCAGAGCAAGCCTCAACCCAAATCTGGGACTGGGAATAATGGGCTCAAATGACAGTTTGGCTTCTACATAATTACATGACCTAGGCAACTTCTCTGACCCTTCTGAATCTCGCTGCTCATGCTGTAACTACAGCTTCCTTCCTCAGGGGCTGCTATCAGAGCATGAAGTAATAGAATACAATATACACAGTTTGACAGACACTTCATGTGTTCATGCTCTTTTTGCCTAAGGGTCTAGTCACAAGGTTTTTAAAAATAAGCCCTAAAGCCTCTATAATAGTTACACTGTGTTCAACAGCCTCAAAACAGAACCACTGCTTGCTTATCTCACTAAAGATCTAAGGAGAGACATCAAAGGACAAAAAAGCAGCAGCAGACATTGCCCTATGAGACTTCACTGACTCAAGGTCTGACATCTGGTCCCTTGTCTTCTACACTATCTCTTCAGTAAATACACAGTATGCAGCCATGATGGTAACAGCCACACCTTCTCTATGAAACATAGCAAGCAAACATGTAAAGCAAGGTACAGACGGCTTCCCATAGGAAACACAGACAATCAAACCTTTTCAACTTAATGGATGCTCCCTGGTACCTTTCTCATCCTTTTCTCCTCTTCTATACATCAAAAGCCATTATCATTTCCATAGTGTGTGAAATCTTACATGTAGCATGAGACAAAACTTATGGACAGACAGCTTATATGTTTTACCATTTTAAGATAAATACAGTTTATACTGAAGTTATTAATTTCCTGTAAATATCTTATTTCTTGAAAGAATGTTCTAAAATTTTAAAAACTTAGTTTTACCAACCTCACCTTTTCCACACACATCTTTGTACCCCTAGTGACTAACACATAGTGTGCAAAAGGCACAAAATATATTCTTCCTGAATAAGTATTATATACTCAAAATAACTACAATAATTTGAAAGGACTGTTCAAATGATTCTGCCTCATTGGTCACCATTTTAATGTCAATTCTTTAGATTAGCTAGAATGTGGAAATCATTTTTATTATAAAACTCTCTCTTCATAAACTCCTTATGGCAGAATATAACTTACAATAAAAAAGTATTAGCATACATTATAACTAGGGATTCAATGATACAGTGCTCAATGGGTCACGTGACGGTGGTTGGTAGCAGGAAGGCAGGACATGAACTCATCTGCAGTCTCTGTGCCTAATCTATACAACTACATAACAGGGAGCCAAGCACAATGTATTCCAGTGAAGCTGACTTTACTTCCTGGTGGTCATTTCATAATGAGTATCCATGAGTTTCAAAGGTAGAAGAAAGTGCTGGCGTTTCAAAGCTGTTATATTTAGGTATCACATTTTTACATTACATTAATTTTTGCTAACAATGGTGGTATATCTGTGTGCGTGTGTGCACCACTGGGAATCAAAACTAGAGAATCACACATGCTGGAAAAGACTACACCTAAGATGTATCTCCAGCCTTTAATAAAGGCATTAACCCTGAGCTGTCAATACACTTGCCTTAGAGTTACATTAAACACAGGAGAATTGCATAACGTGACCAAAAAACACCTATTTGAAGGTTAGGCAGCAAATGCCATGCAGAAATAAAATAAGGGTGTCCTGCAACCAACTGCCTCAGACTGGTCGAAAGTATTAGTACCACAAATGACAAAACTGAGGAGTTATTATTAATTTTATAAGCAGAAAGCCAAAATAGCAAAAAGTGTGATTGGATCCTGTACTTAAAGAAGAAATAAGCAAACCAGCTTGAAAAGCATTAATAAAACATTTTTCCTCCACTTGTGCGTGTGTTTATGGGTGTGAGAAAGAAGGGAAGAGAAATGTATATATGAGAGTGTCTGAGAGAGAATGTGTATGTAAGTGAGTCTGTGTAAGAGAGGTGTGTGAGAGACATGAATGTGTGAGAGCTACATGTGTGAGGCATATGTATATGAGAGTGTGTATGTATGTGTATGAGAAAGAGAGGGAGAGAGAATGTATATGAATGTGTATGTGTGTGTTAAGGCTTTTACTATGTTGTGAAGGGTGAGGTGAGAGGGAAGGGAATTAAAGGTCGGGAGAGCCAGGAGGGGGATAGGTTTTTCACTACGCTGCCCAGGCCAGGGCCTTAAGCTCCTGTGTTTTAACAAGACTGTTAGAGGCCTCCTGAACACTGGGAGGTAGCAATGTGCTACTACACTCAGTTTTAGAAGAGAAATGTGAATACAGGCTATCTAAGAAATAAGTCAACAGCCCTACAGACTACAGCTAGGATATCTGAATCTTCTTCGAATCCCCCAAGACAGCGCCCCTTACCAGCAGGAAGTAGTTTGGAAAGAACGACGCCCAAATTCCCAAATATTGTGTATAAATGTTTGTTTTCATTTAATTGGACTTTGTTATATAAAATTAAATAAAAAATACTCTATATGCATAAAAAAAAAAAAAAAAGAAATAAGTCACCCACAAATGTACACATAGGACCTCACTCTCCTCCCAAGCTCTTAGAAATGAACAGCAGTGCAGTAAGGACTCTGAGGGACTGCGGAATGGGAAGTTTCCCAAGTTTTTCCCCATACAATATTCTATGTCCTCATATCAGCATATATGATGGCTTTGGAAGTAATTTTATTAAATAATTGATTTCTCCTATTTATATTACTTCTGTAAGCCAGGCTGTAGAAATTAAATGAAAATATCAGAAGTGCTTAAACACTGAATTCCACATTCACAACCACAAGCTTTTAGGTACCTGGATGACAAGCTCTCCCCGATGAAGACTTCATTGAGTGCTCGCACTGGCAAAAGCTGAGGTCCTGACGCCTCGGATCCTGCAGTAGGTGAGAGATCCAAGAAAGCTCCTTGAATTTCAGAACTATTAAATTACAAGTTCATCAAGCTCTGGAGTTTTAAAGGCATCACATTCTTTAATAACACAGAAGCACCTTAAATTGTTCATAAAGTCTAAAGTCACCTAACCTATACCAATAAACCTAACCTGTCTCGCTAATGTAATCCTTGAATTAAGTTCTAAGTGTTACAATATTAACTGAATTTTACCTGGTCAGCATTAGAGGAGGAATTGACCAAAGCACCACTTCGAATTTAGAACACAAATTACCTGCATGGCTTATACTGGAAACCAACCTAGATAGATCTAGTAATGTCAGAGCCACACCTACAAAGTCTCACTAACATGATTATACAAACATGAGCCAAGGAAGGACAATAACAATAGGTATTCCAGGGCGGATGAGAAAGAGCCCACAAAGCCTCAACCCTACACAAAGAATAACAGGCAAATTAAAGAATGCTGAAACCAAAGAAATAGTCTTCAAGGAAAAGAACAGCAACTGGTTATCTAATACCAAATTGTCTGCCCTGAAAAAAACACATGTGAGTAACATAATATAGTTATACTTAGGAATGCACATGTGTATGTACATATACACATATGCATGTAACTAATAGCCATTAATGAAAAATGAGGCCATGCACTTGAAAGAGAACAAGGAGGGTTATATGTGTGGGTTTGGGGGAAGGAAACGGAAGGGAAAATGTTCTAATCTCATTTTTTTTTTTTTTTTTAAGTTTAAGAAAAAAAGACTGAAAGGAAACAGCACTTTTTTTTTTCATTTGAAAAATCTCAAAAACGTTTTTAAGAATGATAATCAGAAAAACATTAGCACATCTCCCTTCCACATCTGTAAAAATACCCATCTTTTGTTTAATCTGCACCATTTAAGAAGTGTTCTCCATCAGTACAATAGTATTGGGGAATTAAATGTGATCTTGTCACCATTAAAGAACTCCCTTCACTTTCTATCACTGATCAATTTTCAGGTGGAAATGCCAGCCCTGTCCCCATGTGATGGGCAGGACTACTCAAGTCAAGCATCTCCCATGAGTAAGCACTATGGGAAAAGTTCACTTGTCCCTCCTCACCCAGTTTCAATCAACACGTACTTAGTGCATTCCAGTTATGGCAGCAGCCTCCAGTCTCCAATTATCCCTCCCATCCAGTGTTCACACCCTTCACGTGGTCCAGTACATCAAACCAGGGTGGGTTACACTCCAACCAAGGCAACACAAATTCTGATCGTGCACCTACCTCTGAGAAAAAGGAGGTCAGAAAAGGCTTCTGTCTTGCTATGTATGCCTATCTGTCTCTGTCTCTCACTCACTCACTCTGGAAACTAACCCTCCTTTCTGCTAAGCAGCACATGAGAACCAGCAAGGGAACTCTCTAGTCCGGGCAGGTCTTCAAGCACTGCTGTTTAGTTTGACAGCTTGACTGTCACCTCCTAAACTAGAACTAACAGTTAAGATGTTTCTGGATTCTGAGCTTCACAACCTGTAAGCTTATAAATAATGTATGGCTACCATGATAAAGATCGAAGTAATGTGTTACACAGACTAGAGACCTAACTCACATTAGACACTGAATACACATATGAGCCACAGCCAATGTGACCTCTAACTTCTGACCCCCTTATTCATGCATATTTATTATGTCAAATATAGTATTTTTCTCATTCCTCCAGAATGTTAACCTCCTAAAGGGACTATTCTTTCACCTGTAAAGGGTCTCTATTACAGTACCAAGAATTCTTTGAACAGCTGCTATTTGTCTCCTTTGTCAGCACAACAGAAAAAAACCTCACACATTGAGTACTGAGAATGTAGGGACACATACCACCATACCTGCCCAAAGTTCTATATCCAAGAGTCTGTGTTTATCTAAATTCTACTGCATCAAAGCCATAATTCAGTTTAACTTGGTATTATCCCAATTTGCTTCAAGGCAATATCATATTGGACAGTTACACAAATATACAATGCTAAAAACTTATTGTTTATAGATTTTCTTAAATGTATGAATTATTAATGGAATTTTTAGATCTTCATTCCCATGGATTCTTCACAAATGCTAAATTCACAGCAGATGTTTAACAAATATTATTAGTAAGCATGAACTCTTGCCATGATGTGCTTTTCTTTTATATGAACTTAACTTTTCACCTGTTTCTATTTTCCTCTCCACACCATATGTTTTTTGGAGTTTGTTCTGTTTTGTTTGGGAGACAGGATTTCTGTTTTATATTGCTCTGGTTCTCCTGGGATCACTTTGTAGACCATAATGGCCTCAAACTCAAACTCAGAGAGATCCAACTGCCTCTGCCTCCCACATGCTGTGATTAAAGACATATGCTACTACACTTGGTTTCCACACCACATCTTTAAATATCTGTACTTGCTAGATTTCATTTTGAATTTTTTTGTCAAGAAGAGCAGAAAATTTTTCTCTAATCACATGCTTTTATTTTTCATGCTAAATGACTACCAACTCTTAAGCAGTTAAAAACTACCCACTTATAATTTGCATCTATATAAATATATATTTATATAATACATTGTATATAAAGATACATAGTGTATATATGAAGATACAAAAACATGAACTGAGTTATCAGCTAATTTTTTATCGAACACAATCAATTATAAAGTCATAATTGACACAAATACACAACTGCTAAAACTTATGGCAGAGACTGCTATTGTGTGCAATTCTCTCCCACCTTCTTACTACCAGCCTATTTCCTTCCTGCACTAGGTCCAGCCTCTAACTACATGGTGGTCAGAGGCAATGAAAAGGAAGGACTGGCTTCTAAAGCTTCAAGATCCTCCATGTTCTCTGGATTCTTCCCACAAAATGCAAGAGATCAAGTGGAAAACTCTGAAGCCTTAAAATATGGTAGGAGCTCTTGGAATATGGGAAAACCCTGGGCTGCCTGACCACTCCCGACCACAGTGAGATGAACTAGAAATAATCTATACTGCATAAAGCCATGATAGATCTGATGCTGTTTATCAAACTAATTCATGTCACCAAATTAGCCTTGCAAATAATAATTAAATAATATATTTAAAACTTAGAAAGAAAAACAAATCAACCCACCTTCTCCTTTGATATAGAAATTATATGTAAGTATGTCTATACATACATACAGTTTTATAACTTGTAATAAAAAATCTAGACAAGGTCAAGTCACACTACAAAAGGCAAAAATGTTCAAAGTTGCATCATTTACTTTAAGTTTGAAGATGTAAAGGTGTTCTCACTAGTCTTGTTCTAAACTGAGAAATCATCAAATATATTTATATTTATAATCTCAAACCTATGCAACTTTTCTAGGCAGTGTTTCCTGCCAACACAAAGAGGACTTAAGTTAGACATCAAATACACACGTTAAAATGGCTCTCAATTTTCTTAGAAATACATCTATTAAAAATAAATTCTACTAAAAATGCCCTCTAAAATAGTCCCTTGACATAGTAAATACTACACAGTTAATCCTAACAGTGACAGTCATATAATTACAGTGATTTCCGTGTCCAATGCTGCTACTGACAAACCTGAGACTGTTGATTCCAGATCCTTTGTACACAGAACCGTATCAGCGCTCTCGCCCCTACTGGAAATCCCATTCAGTCTTCTGACACACATCAGGTTTGCGGATCTACTATCACTACTTACGATAAAGACTTTTGACTTCTTTCAATTCAGATTATTACCTAAAATTCTGAGATATTTTCTTGGATTACTTTACTTTGGCAACTTTTGTTGTTGGTTTTGCTTTCCCAGCCCCAACATTTGTCATATGTTCATCCTGGACACTGAACCCCAACTTACTTAGTGTGAATAACGCATTTCTAGGTATGATCTCTGTATGGCTTTTTACATCTCTCAGAAGATGTAACTACTGATGAAAAGAAGTGGTTCACCATCTTTCAAAGATACCGATGTTTGTCATGATATATTGTGCTTCCAAGTGTGTACACAGCTCTGGTGTATACGCAGGTGAATGTGCACATGTATGCACATAAATGAGCTCGTAGAGGCCCAAGTTTGATAGTCTGGTGTCACCCTTGGTCTCTCTCCACTTCACTGATTGAGGTGAGATCTCTTGACGGGAGTGGGAGCTCACTGATCCCAGAGAATCCACAGTAAGCTCCTGGTAGGAACCCTGCCTCTACTCTGAGTGCTGGGATCCAAGGGCCACACGGGTTCTGGGGATTCAAACAACATTCCTCACACTTGAACAAAAATGCTTCATCCCCTGGGTCATCTCCCCAGCACAGGGGAAGCTTCTTTTGGTGAAGGAGAAAATAAAATTTCCAGCTATGTCAATGAAATCTTATTTAATAATTACTAAAGAGTTTCAAAACTAGTAATAGGAATTATACTCAAAAGACATTTAAAAGCAAATGATTTTTTTTTTAAGGGAAAGAGAATCTTTCCAATATGCCATGAACTCAGACCTTAGAAACATGCTAAAAAACAAAGTATCACTGGGACCCAGCAGAAAGGAGGTGTAGTGGGGGGAGGGAGATTAAGATGCCATTCCTGAAACTTTTCAAGGAGAAGAATCTTTTTATAACAAACAGTCCATGAATACTTCTTTCGTGATTTTTTTTTTTGTACCACTTAAGTTTTAGAGTTACTGAAAGCAATAAGAAAACATGACAAAATAAAAATCCATACATTAGAGCAAAGCTAAATATTCATTTTAACCCTCATACTGAAAAGTTGTAAATTTCCATCTGCTGGGATTCTCCTTAATTGACCTTAAACAGAAATCTCAAAGCTGGATGCAAAAATCTTCCAACAAGAAAGATTTTAATCGACAACTACAGTAAATACAGTTAAAAGAGAGTGAGTGAGAGAGTTAAGTGCAGTCCTAACTACAGAAACACAAACTTATAAGATTTCCAACAGATCAGTTCCCTCCGTCTCTCCTTTGACTTGTCAAAGGTCTTTTCCTAAATGTCAATTGTCCTGCCAGGCATTAAATAATGTATCCCTAACCAACTAGTTTTCAAACCTGTGCTAGAGACAGTTCATCTTGAAACATGTTCTACTTCTTTAGATTCTAATTATAATAATGATGACAAAAAGTTAAACCAGCAAAAAGTATTTTTTAAGAGTTACTACTGGCTGTCTACGGCCATACCACCCTGAACATGCCCAATCTCATCTGATCTCGGGAAATAAGCAAGGTCGAGCCTGGTTAGTACTTGGATGGGAAGAGTTACTAGTGGCATTAAAAGCAAATTAAATGAAAATGATTTCTTTAAAACCTTAAAAGTTACATAGCACCCACCCAAGGGTAATGTCCACTCCACCTACTTTCATCATCAGCTCTTTCGATGTTAAAGGCCCTGCTGTGCTGATTCAAACTCAGCTGCTGTTCATGAAGGTCCACCGGGGTGGGGTTTATGCCAGTCCCTTCCAGATACAACCTGATACGTTGTCTCCATAGCCACCTGAATGTGAAGGGAAGTTACAATGAAATCAAATACACTACAACAACCTCAGCAAATTGAAAAATGTATATGAGAAGCTATATAGGCTTAGCTTGGTGGCATATGTGTATATATATATCTGTAATACCAGCAGTAGGGAGGTAGAAGCAGCCAGAACTCTGAGTTCCAGGCCAGTCAGACCTACATAATGAGACCCTGGCAAAAAATCAGAGCTGGGAAAGTGGCTATTTACTCCATGAGTAACTTGTAGCACAAACTCCTGAAGCCTACAGGTCTCTACTGAAAGTTTTGTATGGGTGTTTACTTCTCTTTCCAGTTGTGGTAATGTCTAGGAAGCTTATCTAAAACCTACAAGGTAATCTGAATTAAAATCTTAGTAATAAACCACTAAATCCATAAGAGCTGGACATATGCATGTGTTTGCTCAGCAAAGTCTATCACAGAAGGCAAACAGTACCCCCACTAAGGTGAATAAACGTATTAGATGAACGTCTCCTAAAACTTCAAAATGGTGATTTTTTTTTTGTTGTTGTTGTTGTTGCTTTGGTTTCTTTTTTGACACAGAGTTTCTCTGTGTACCCCTGGCTGTCCTAGAACTCACTCTGTAAACCAGGCTGGCCTCAAACTCACAGAGTGAGTGCTGTATTAAAGACATGCACCACCTCTGCCAGGCAATGATGATTGTTTTTAAACTCCAATAGGAAAAGAGATTAAGAAATGGCAAGTGTGAGCTCCTTATTACACCTAAGGACATAAACAATAACTCAGTAAAAGTGGGTGCTGGGAATTGAAAATGTGGTTCCCGTACTTTCAAAGCAAGCACCCACTGATCCATTTCTAGCTTGGAGAAGTATGTTTTTAAAAATCCCATCCCATTGATTAAAAAACACTTCACAGAGAAGACAAAGATATGAGGAAGTACAGCCAGGCTGGATTAAACTCACAAGCATCCATTCATTAAAAGTACAAAAATAAAATTGAATCTTCAATTTTACCAAACAGCTTGAACTATCTTTCTACCAAATGCTAAGAACATGTATTAAAAATAAGACTAAAAATCATAGTGGCAACCTCACTCTGGCTGAAGGAGTAAAATCATCATTTGCAATTATAGGCCAATTAATATCTGTCATGTTCTCTCTACTTTGCTCTACTGGAAAGAAGGTAGAAGACCTCTGTGGCTGACTCCTTGCATTTTTTACGGCTTTTGTACGGATCGGTGAAGTGCCCCGGTTTGTCTGTGTCTCCTCTTTTTGAACAGTATCAAGAGCACATATTTATTAAAGAACCAAACAAGAGAGTAAGAGCTTCCTACCTGAACTCACCACGCGAGAACTTCTGTAGGGCTTCAGGGAAGGAATGTGTGTATCGAACAGGCAGACATAAATGACCTTCAGACCTGGGAGATGTTCAGATGGTACAAAGGGTGGGAGTAAATGAGTAGAGGAGAAAAAAATCAGAGCATTACTAACTACAAAAATCAGAGACCAGTTTTTCTAAATTTCAATCCTATATTTCATTTCTCCCACAAATTGTCTATACTTTCAATAACAAAAAAAAACCCAAAAAACAAAACACTGAACAAATCATAGTCCACAATGAGCTTTAATAAAACAACTATGCCAGTATTTCCACACTGATAAAAGTAAAAACAATAGCAAAATTCTGCTACTAATCACCTTGTTAACTTATCCAGTGGTAGAGTGGGATCCTTGCCTCTTACCTCTAAATTATTTAACTATTAACATCACAATAAGTCACTTTAGAATTGTTTTCTTATTTCTAAAATTGTGACAAACATCAACCATGCAAGGTTATTCCAAAGAATCAAATTGTGAAATCAAAATGTGAAAACATGTTGAACCACTTAAGTTATCCTTAAGCAAAAGAATTAAGAAAGCTTATCCTGATATAAACTTTCACTTACTTAAAAATTATTAAAGATGAACTTCAGGGAAGTCACAGATTGATGTGGAAGACAAATTGAGTACTTGGAAAGCTGGTGGGATGGCTCTGTCATTAAGAGTTTGTATTGCTCTTGCAGAGGACCAGAGTTCAGTTCCCAGGACCATGCCACATGGCTCACAACCATCTGTAATTCTAGTTCCAGGGGACCTGACACCCTTTTCTGATTCTGATGGCCGTGAAATCACATGACTACATCCCCCACACACACATACATACACATACGCCTAATTAAAAATTCAATAAAACAGAAAATAACTGCAAGTCACAAAGTGGTAAGATTTCTGTTAAACTGCTACAGAAGATGTGACTCCTAATGATACCCAGAAATTTTCATTATCATCACTCCAAGGTGCTCTGGTCTTAAAGGATGAGTAGACCTTGCAAAAAGTCTTGATAATAAATAAATAAATTATAAATGGTAAATTAATGAGCAGAAAAAAAAAGATTTTGTAAAGTACAGTTTAGCAATTTATCTACAGAAGTCAATAACAGAACTTCATTTTTGTTGTTGTTTGATGGGGGGGGTGTTTGTTTTGTTTTTGAGACAGAGCATCACAGACTGCTTACCAAGTCTGGGTGCTGAGACTGTAAGCCTGGACCACTGGAATAACATCTGTCCTCCAGACTTAAAATTTTTATATTCATTAATTTTCCCAATGTTTACTACATTAAAAGTAGCATAGTAACTTGACAGAAAGCATCTCTTCAAGACAAGTGCAAGTCCACAGAAGGTCACACTCTCTCATGACTCCATATACTCAGACACTGGCTGGGCCCCAGGTGTTATCTGAAGGCCTAACTTGGGCTCCTACATCCACTTCCTAGATTGTAAGCTAGTGGCAGCTGTAAGCAGGAGGTCTCAGTTCCTCTGATGGGAGCCTTTCCTCACAGGGTCACTACACTGATCTCAATATCGTGGTAGCTGAGCAGTTCATGAGCTGCAACACAGAAGGTCCAACACATCACTTAGAACACGGCTTAGCATTTCCAGTGTCTCACCACCACTTCATTGGCCTCAATGATCACCCTGACTGAAAGCAGAGAGCAAGATGAGAGCCACAGAGGGGTAAATATTAGGGTACCAATGGAGGCTGACTACTGTGGCATTCAAAGGCTGTTTACCAGGCTTAGCAGAGTGAGTTTGGAAAACAGAAGAGAACAACTGAATGCTATTTTTAATTCAGATTGAGTCCATGTGAGTGAGCCATCTTGATGCCAATATTCCAGCCCAAATGAAACCCTTAAAGGCCTGCAGCCCTAGATGTGACCTCGTGCCAAGGTATTGATACAGCTTTCCCTTTTTCGCCATTTTCTATTTAAAACAACAGATTTTTAAAGAGTTCTTTGTCTTCTTGCATCCATAGGCAAATTGAAGTCCTCAAAATCTGATACGTTCATGATTTAAAGCTAGCTTTTTAAAGAAAATACAATCCAACCATAAAATTGGTCAAGTTAACAACTTCTTAACTTAATGACATAAAAACAGGTTATTAAGAATTTCTGAGACCCAAATGCACCAACACGGAAGGAATCAAAAGTTAATTACTAAACTAATGATCTTACTTTCTTAATCTCAGAGAACATTAATTCAGCAAGGTTGAAGTCCTAGGGCTGCTCTCTGAGATCAATTACATTCATTCTTCAGAAGTTTCCTGAATACAATGTACAAACCTATGCTAACATTAGAGAAGTTAGGACTCAAGGTCCTATACGCAAAAGAATTAACTGTGTAACAGCAGAGACAGGCAGGAAAGGGCAGTGAGCAGTTAGTCATGTGCTGCCTGTGAAAGGAGCTGGAGGCCACCGAGGCCTGACTAAGGAAGGACCACAGCAGTACATTTTGACGCTCCATCTTGGGGGTGGGGCGGCACCGGGAAGCTTGGCAGAAGAGCACAAAAAGGATGAAAACAGCCCAGGCCTTCTGGAGAGCTCTCTTGAGTCATCTACTATCTCATATGTCAACAGAGCCTGTGGCCAGAGCCAAAGCTAGCCTGTGTGAGTCTCCAACCAGGGTGTGAACAGATGCTCTCGTGGTTAGCATTCACACTGAGCCTTTTTGAAAGATTCTGAGCTGCTCCGAGAAGTTTAAATCCACTCATGCATTTTTTTCAACTGAAGATTATATAGTGCCTGAATATATGATAGATGAGACTAGAAAGGCAGAAAAGCAACAGATGGCAAAAGAAAAAAGAAAAGAAATGTATATATTACCTAAGGGATTTACAATGTATCTTGAAGATCATGGAGGAAATTGTAAAAGATTTTAATTAAGGAGTAACTATAATCAGACTTGCACTTTAGAAAAAGACCATGAGTTGTGTATAAAATGTCCCCCACAGGTTTCTATGTGTTACCGAAATATTTTCAACAACAGCTTATAAAGGCCTGAGCTATGGTTAGTGGTAGTGAAAAATTGTAAGACATGAACTCAACAATGTCTTCTAAACATGGCACATTCTGGACAAGGCATGCACACAATCAAGTTATTCTCTCTGGTACCGAGTGAGAGGTGTTCTAACACAAGAACTATGGAGAGTTGACAGCTTCTGGGGAAAGCAGTCAGTTTTCTATCAATGTGTGGCTCCTGGTGGGTCAACCAACTCCAGTGAATAGCCCCATGCCCAGATGTATGAGGACAGCACATACTGAAGTAAATGGGTTTTCATAAAAACAAAAACAGTGAAGTTGTTGAAGGAATCGGGAGAGGTAAGGGCTGATAGAAAGGGGTTACAGAGACTACGATAAAAACTCACAATATAACATTTTCAAAGAATTCATCTAGAAATCTTTTAAGAGGAAGAATTAAAGGCAAAATTCTTAGAATTTATTAGCAGTTTGATGAGAGGATAAGGAAGTAATCACACTCCAGCACAGGTAATGGTTCCATTAATCAGAAATGAAGCAAAAGAGAAAAGCAATGACCATTTGTAGACAGCAAGCTGCTTTTTTAATACAGTTGAAAAGCCAGTTTGCTAGAACAGGATGAAAAAAAGGAACAAAAATAACAGGAAATTAGAACAGAAAATAGGAACCAGCAGATAATGAAGTCTTGGGGTTCACTGGACCACCTATGGACCATTTTCTAAGATAAAGGATCTAAGTGCTAAAACTAAAACTAAAATAAATCCAAGGAAAAGTAGAGTGAGTTGGCCTGCTCATCACAGTTAAGACATAGATTTACTCAGTGGGATTCGGCATCACTATAAGGCTCTCAGACAGTATGAAGATTCTCTGACTGCAATGGGGGTACTAGAGATGAGGATAGAAGCAGGGGATGTTCTAGGCAAAAGGACCCAAAATACAATCTTTGAAAACAACCTTATAGAAGAGTAACAAAAGTTCCTTTAAGGAAACAGTCACAGAGGCAGAAAGAAAAGAATATTATAAACGCTACACTTAAAAGGCAGTTTCTGCTAGGTTCAGTGTCGTTGGTCTCTTAAACTGCATCAGTGCAGAAAAGACTCAAAGGTTTAGAACTGCAAAGTGAGGACACAAGCTACATTTGGGCTCAAGAAAAGGAAAAGGGGCAATAACCAAGGATGCAAAACAGCAGGAAAGGCATAGCCCTGGGTGGAGTGTGGGCCAGGAGGGATCACGAGGAAAGGGAGCCAGTGACAGGAGATCTCCTACCTTCATTTCCTGTGATTTGGGGAGGGCTCACTCAAGGGAGAACAGGATGCAGATGTGTAAAAAGCGAGCAGACCCTCCTGAGTGGTGGGATGCAGGGGTGGGGGTGGGGTAGAAGGTGAGATGAGAAGGCTAAGTAAAGAACCTGGTGAGTGACTGCCTTACCAGCAAGCCCAAGTTTCTAAGATTTTCTTTCTGGGTGATTTTTTTTGCAAGCCTAATATAGGAATGAAAAAGATGACAAATGGATCTAGAATTGAATAGGAAGATAATTATTTAAAAACATTTATGGAGCCATCAAAGAAATAAATAAACTGAAGAAAATAGAGGGGACCTGAGCACCGAATACTAAAGGGCAGATCTGTGAGGGGATAAGGCTGACATAAGGATGGAGTGTGCTCCTAGAAATGAGACTGCAGAGGTGGGGAAATCCAGCTGAATTTTATAAAGTCCACTTATGACCATGGCGCTAATAAAGTACCCATAAAGCTGGGAAAGGAAAACAAAAGCTTTCAGACTGACTGATGACAAATGTAAAAGAGAACTAACTGTAGGGAGGGTGGATAAGCATTAGTCATCCAAGGGTCTGGGCAATCAATCACTTGGTCAACTGCACCTTTTATCACTGAATTGTTTTTGGGCCATGTTATGATGTTCACAGTAGCAAGAACAAAGACGCTTACACTTTAACATCATACACTATGGTAAAATCCTTGAAGCAACAGAGCTCCACATCTTAGCTATACAGAGAAAACGAAGAATAGATTCAAAAGTGTAAGTCATCAAAAATAGGCAACACACAAAACAAAGCAGAAATAGTTATGAGTAGAATATTTAAAAATCAGCCTTACAAGCCAGACACAAAATAAACATGTTCTCACTTACCGTTCTGGATCAGTGTTGACCCCAATGACAGGTTTAAGTCTGTCCAAAACTTTACTGGCTGCCAGAAGCATCGTGCCATCACCTACCAGAGTAGGAGACACAACCAGACTTGTCTTATAAAGCAGTTTTAACATTATTTTGAAAACCAGTAGTTTTACCAACTACACCCTCCTGGCTGACTGACACAGCTTCCCCTTTCACCTACTACATCTTTGTATTGTGCTGGGCCTGTTGCACTGTGCCTGTTGTATTGTGCTATGCCTACTGTACTGCCTTGTGCCTGTTGCACTGATTCAGGATTTCAATGGTGCCAGGACTGGGGAAAAAAAATATTTACATTGGAAGGCTGTTCTACAGGCTATCCTGCACATTAGAGTGGCTGGTAGAATTTCTCAACAACCCATTAAATGACAATAATGTCACCCAATTGGGCATCATTGTTCTAATCCCAAACATGTCCTTCCCTGACCTATAAAACCAATCCAAAGATTTATGATATATTAGTGAAAACATATCTAACCATGTCCTGCTTTAATTTATTCTCTCAACAACTACTTTTAATTTAAAGCTGGATAAAAAGGCCACTAGCAGCAAACATCAAGAAAAGGTACATGCTGGTGTACTGGGGCCAAATAATAAACAACTTCAATAGACTATCACAATTGGCTCTTTATTAAGACTGCCATAAGTAAACCAAAATACACTTAACAAATCATCTTCTGAATCTGAAGATGACTTATAAATCTATATTAAAGAACACAGAGAACCTCACGCCATCAAGAAATATAAATTAACTAATATTAAGAAAAACATGCAAAGACAAAAACAAACAAAAAAGCCTGTCTTGCAGGACTTGAAGGATTCAAAATATCTGAATCCAAGCACATGGAGATAGGACTCACTGAAAGAACCCCACACCCCAGCGCCTGGTCTCCAGGGCGGTTACCTCCTGCTGCTATGACAGCATCTGCCCATCGAACGGTTTCTTCATTGTACTCCCTCCGCTTCACTAGGCGAACCTCAATCCCTTCATCCCTAGGATAAGAAGTTGCACACGTTTTCCACGGATGTCATAGCTAAGACACGAACATTATCTAAGAGACAGATTATCACCAGAAAGAGAAGCAAAAATAAAAGTAAAATCTTCGCCGTAAAAACAAATTTAAGTGTAGTTTGTAAAACTCCCTTACATAGCCAAGTAACTATGACAGATCAGAAAGCAAATGAATGAAATATCCATGTGCCTTAAAACAAATTTTAGAATCACCCCAGTAATACTGACTGATCCTGTTTCTAATGCTGAAATTTAATGTAAAAATGTGTTATATTCATTACATAAACATACATTCATTATAAAACCAAATAGCTATTGTCTAAAATTCAACAAATATTCATTGAGTGGCAGAGATTAAATGTTATTAGCGTGTTCTTAGATTCCTCTTTTATAGTCACTTAAACTTATTCAGCTACAAACTGAAGATTCTACAATGGTCACTTTTAGACACAAGCAATAGATTCATGAACACTTGTATCTACGACTCTGGTTCAAGAAACAATACTTTATACACAGAGAGTAAGTCTGCTGTGTACACAACTACTTACAGAAAAGGAACTTCTCTACTACACAGATTTACTGAAAAGCTTGACTTTTAAGAGTAAAATAAAAATTTCCTTAGAAAATGATAAAGTCATTAATATAATTTTCTGGAAATGTGGCAAATATTACTAAAACTCTAAGTACAAAATAAGATCAGAGATTCCATCTAAGACCCCATCCCACAAACTTACCGTAAGCTATCTACTATATGTTCTACATTTTTGGTGTGAATATGGTGTCGTTCAAGTAGTCCACTGTAGCTCGAGCCTTTCAATGCAAGCTATTAGAACAAAAGAAATGCTATTTTACATTGAATATTGCATATAATACAATGCCATTTAAAAGTTCTATGCAAAATAAAGATTTTAAGGGCACATTTTAATAACTTACTATGAAACCTACAAGTTCAAATTCAACTAAAGGCCAGATTTCACGAAATCATAATTTGATTTTAGTACCAAATACAGCATTAGGTTTTGTGAAATATGCAGTCAACAGTTTCCAAAAGGCACATTCTGCATGTCTATTTCAATGCCTTTACCAGATTATGCATGGCTACCTGAAGGCCAAAGACAAGCTGTCACTGTTACAGGCAGTCAACTGACCTTTGGCCGGCTTGGGTTTGCTGCTCCCTTGTGTTCCATTTGGACCCCATTTGGAATTTGCCCTGCGTCATCGAAAGAAAGGGCTGGGTAGGCCTCTGAGAAGGAGTAACTTTACATATATAGAACTCTAATCTTCAAGCATTATTCTTCCTAGTTGAGCAATATTTTATATTTATCTTACCATTAATATTATAAAGATTAGATAATCTAAAAAGTAAAATGTAAAGCATGTGTTCAATATAAAATCATAAATATATTATTATCATTACTTATTAAATTACAGAGTAAAACTAACTTCTAAAAGATAATTTAGTATGTATTTTAATTCTGGGAATGGCTGAGTCAGGTTGGCCTCAAATTTACACTTTTTTCTCAGCCTCCCAAGTATTTGTATTAGCAGCATATACCACCATGCCTGGCTTAAAAGACTATTTATTTATTTATTTATTGACAAATGTATTTTGCTTTTGCAAAATCACAAATATAACCCTAATGTGAATAGCAATTTTAAGTAAAATAAGGCCAAGTATATGATTATGTTATTTCTTAGGAATGATTACTGCTAATATTTTGATGCCTACCTTCCCAGCTTTTTCTTTACAAATACTGGGTTAAGAGTTCTTTAACGTATTTTTTTTTCCACTTCTACAATTTAAAGAGAACTGTATAGGTTCCAAAAGAAAGAGTGAAGGGAAACATTTGGTTATTGTGAAAATCAATAAATGGATGCTAAATTACATCAGACAGACATACAAATAGAAATGTGGTTCAACAAAACCATTGAGTTCAGGCCAAATCAGCAGCAACCACAGTGGTAACTAGAAAACCCTTCACTGACCTAAACCAAATGAACTCAAATCAAGTTTGTTTCTGGTTAAGGACAAGCACAGCATTCACCTTTAGATTACTGTCCCTCACTACTCAGACCTAAACCTTCATATCAACCACCTTGGACAAAGTATTAACCAAAAGCCTTTCTTCTCTATGATACCCTTCTCGTGACTTTAAAAGAAATCTGTATGTTTATACTAAGGATTCCCAATTGCTATCCAAAGCTCTAAAGAGTTTGGACCTAGCACAAATTGGCCCATGTGCCTACTTTAGATGGCTAACAACCATCTTTTAATATTCAATACCAAGCCCTTTATTTTCTACTCTACTCAAGGCTGGAGTTACACTTGAGACCACCTCTTCCCTTATTCCCATATCCAGTTACTAAGTCACAGGCGCCATCAATGCACATCTTTACACGTGTCACCACCACAATTGGGACAACTGCACATGCCTCCTCAGGTCCTAGGCCACGACACCCACTCACTTTAACACAGGGTGATCAACTGTGAGCACCCTCATAACTCTGTCACCACTCTTTTCTTTGTACTTGCTAGAATGCGCTCCCTCCTGCAGCCCAATCCTGGCTCTTCCAGACCTTCAAGTACATGGACAGCCTAACCACTAACACAGCCAAGGCCCTGAGCATGTCGCCACTCACAACGCAAAACCAAAACACTCTTTTGGAATGGAGCCGATCACTCTATCCCAAAGTCTGTTAGTTCCATCTATTGAATTTGCTACAGCTAAAATTATTTATTTTATTTAAAACATTAAAAAAAAAAACTGTTCATGCCCCCTTACTAGAATATAATTAACATAAAAGCAGTGATCTTTTCTTATTCACTAGTATGCATCAGGACTTGGTTACTTGGTAAGTTATTTGTTGAGTGAATTTATTCATTCATTCCCTCGTTGGCTGGGTGATGGCTGCTGGGATGCATGTCTCAGAAAAGCAACAAGAATGCATAAACAGATGTCAAGAATGACAACTTGAGTGACAGCTTGCTTACAAAGCTGGCCTTGCAGACAATCTCTACCTGGTCAAGACTGAGGAGAGGCCAAGACGTGGAGGGAGGGGGAGAATATATTGTTTTGTCATAGTAACACCACACATAATTTCACTTTAGGAGTGGACACTTCACAAAGCTAGAAATTAAGATTTTAAAAATGTAATGTATGCAAGTATTTGAGTACTCGGATACTGATTCTTTAAATATTAGTTGAGCTCAATCAAATTTATTAAATGGAGACTACAAATAGCCTAGGGTGATGGCAAACATTTTGACTGTACAATAAATCTTTCAGAACTGTGTCATCAAATTTATCATTTCTCACTTGCAGAAATAAAACTTAAGGATGGCTGGCCCTCAGACTTCAACAACCTGCCAAACATTGTATCTTCTGTTCCAACTTTTGGTGGGACTGTAAGAACATACACTCTGGAACAAGAGACATAAACAAGCTAAGATACTTCTGCTCTTACTTCCTGGTTCTCAGCAAGCTGCAGGAAATTAAGCTAAAGATTATCAGTGGAGCAGAAATGTCTTTATCTCATATTTCTCCTTGTGAGAAAACTCTAAGAGTCAACATTCACCTGGAGAAGTATTTTACCACACTAGCTGGTGGAATAGCTGGAGGAGTAGCTCAAGGAGAAGCTGGAGTAGTAATTGGTGGAGTAGCTAGGGGAGTAGCTGGAGGAGTAGCTGGGCTCATTACCAAGAACTAAGCAGATAAATGTCAAAACAGTGCAGGAAACACTTTAGAAACATCAACTAGAATATTCTGAACCACCATGTAAATAGCACTCATGCTAGCGTAAAACACAAAGTATGTCCCTGAAAATAATGTAGCTTCAAACACCTAGAAATTCACCTTCATCAGAAAAATATCAAGTATAAATGAATTCCTGTAAAATTAAAAAGTTAGAGAAATTTAGGATACATTCTCAACTTCGCAATATTTCATATTACACATTCAGAAACATTCGTTTATAATATTTTTCAAAAAAGTCTGTATTGTTTCCAATAAAGAAATAAAGCACACACCTTTAATCCCAGAACTTAGGAGGCAGAGACAGGCAGTTCTCTGTGAGTTCGAAGCCAGCCTGGTCTACAGAGCTAGTTTCAGGACAGGCTCCAAAGCAGTACAGAGAAACCCTGTCTCGAAAAACCAAAAATCAATAAATAAATGATTATTCAAGTGGGAAAAGTAGACAAATGTAATAAAATAAACAAATCTATAGACAGAATATCTCATTATAAGTGATAGTTTCTCTACAAAAAAAAAAAAAAAATCACCAAACCACAACCTCTTTTCTCACCAATGTGATGTTAACACATTGTTAACACATGCAGAAATATGAAAGAATGGAAACTAAGAACAAATCTACAGATCCCACAGGTGCCCCTTCCCTTCATGGAAGCTGCCTTGACCAGTATTCATTTTGTTCACTCTGTTTATGTCTTCCCTGTATGATGGTGTCAGCAGGGCTCCATCCCCGGTTCTCTTCTCAGCTCTGCCTTCATTTCCCTAAGTTGTCTCCAACCCAGGACCTGGCCTCCCAAGCGAGTTAGTGACTGACACCTGTCCCATCAGCTCTACCTTCTTTTGATTCATGGACTCTACTTTTCCAATGTCTTCCTTTGCCCCCTACCCAGTTCTAGTTCTCGCCCCAAAATATCGTAACAACTGCTTAGTTCCATTCTCATATGTGCTCTGGGAGTCACACACCTATCAATAAAGACATCATTTCTTCAGTTAGCTGAATAAACCCAGCCTCCACCCTCGAATCTCTCACAGTCTATCTCCACAGCCAGTCAGCCAGCATATACATTGCTGTGCATACACTTTTTCCACACTGTGTCATCAACTTCCACACTGCCATCTTCAGCTCTGGACCACATCAACTTTACAGAGATGAATGGAAAAGTTTGCCTCTGGATTTTCTAAACTAATCCCTTAAAAGTCTGATAAACTCCAATCCCAAACCTAATCAAGACCAGAGAGGTCATCTTCATCCTAGTCCCTAAGCACTCAAATACAATCAAAACCTCATCCTCCTCACTTGCTCCACTCCTATGAAGACAGACAGGCCAATGACTGCATTCTACTGCTGAAGAGTCCAAAGCATTAGCAGAGGATGCTAACTAACACTTAGCATTACAGCATCTGTGCATTAGCGCAGGATGCTAACAGCATCACAATTAGCATCCGTCTATCTCACCATGCTTTGATAGTTGAGCACTGACCATGCCCTTGCTATACATTATAGTCAGATAGAATAACCAGTGTTTCAATTAAACAGAAAGTAAAATATATTCTATCAAATGGGGTTAAACTGTCTTCTGCCGCATTTTATTCCAATTAGTACTGAATCACAATGTAAAGCTTTTGACTGAATCACAAAGCCTGGTTCTCTTGGCTAAGAGATGAACTCCATTCTTTGTTCTCTTCACACATGTAAACTCTTTCATCCTTCAACATTTTGTAACATCCTAAAAATACAAGGTATCATTTTACTCTTACCATACTGGTAAAAATGTCAAAGCTGCTGCTGATAATTTGTACATTGGAGAATTCATTCAATGCTAGTGAAGAACTTGTTTTTTACTTAGAAATGTCCTTAACAGTATGAAAACTGGAGCTAGTAAGATGGCTAAACAAGCAAAGAGACCTATCACTCAAGCCTGATGATTTGAGTTTCATCTCTGGAACCCTGAAAAGGAAGCGGGGGAAAGCCAACTCCACAAAGTTGTTTTCGGGCCCCCACCTATTTGCTGTGGCCTGGGCACTCCCACTAGCCATGTATGCACAGACACATACATACAATAATAATCACACT